TGGATGAGCTTTCAGGTCCCTTCCCACCCAGCCTGGTCTGTGATTCAGTGACTCCTGTTCTCTACTCCTCACCATGAAAACATCAACATGAGTTGGCCCAGGGGAAAAACAGCACCAGCCAGTTTTGGTCCTGAGGCTTTTGAGGAAGATTTGTTCTGCATTTGTTCAGACCAGTGACCAACAGGCTCCATTTTGAGAAGCAAGATGTGGGGTTGGGGAGTGAGGACAGAACTGGACAGTACCGTACCTCCCCTTCAGACTTCACACCGACCACCTTGCCGTTTTCTATCACGATCTCCTCGATGGGCTTGTTCAGCATGTAGGTGCCTCCATATATCGCGCTTAACCTGCAAAAGAAAAGCCACTTCAGCGTGTTCCTCAGGTGCACGTTTGGTTTTAACAGCCCTGCCAACCCCTGGTTTCTGTTCCACTCAAGACAAACCACACATGAGACTCTTCCAAACCCGCTGCAGATGCCGTCTGTTGTTCTTTCTGCAAAGCATCAGCTGGTATTTGGTGGAAATTAGAAGTGTTATTAGAGCCAGGTGGAATGAAGCTGCTCGGTGGAACCCAGACAGTCCTACAGGGTAAGTGCTGCAGTTACTGAATCCCAGACTGGTTTGGGTTGGAAGGGACCTTAAAGCTCATCCAGTTCCAACCCCCCTGCCAGCAGCAGGGACACCTTCCACTAGACCAGGTTGCTCAAAGCCTCATCCAACCTGGCCAAGAACACTTCCAGGGAGGAGCAGCCACAGCTTCTCTGGACAACCTGGGACACTGTCTCACCACCCTCACACCACAGAATTTCTTCCTCACATCTCAGCTCCATCTCCCCTCTGACACTTTCAAGCCATCACCCCTCGTCCTGTCACTCCCTTTTATAGAAAGTCCCTCCCCAGCTTTCTTGCAGGCCCCCTAGTTTACACCAAATCTGGCTTCTGAGACAGACAACCTGCATCTCTGAGCAAATCCAGACCTACCACCACTACCAGGAATCGCAGTAAACAAGCCCAGGAAGAAACAATTTCCCATGAAGGAATCACTTCTTAATTAAGCCAACGAGAGAACCATTAACAGCCGCGGGATTTTTATGCAGCGTCCCATCCTGGAAGCCTGAGCGCTGTCTCCACACATCTGATCCCTCAACCAGGTATCACAGTAGGGTTGAGAAAACACTGGAGTCCAAAATGAAGTTCTCACCTTGCAAACCCCTGGGGCAGCTCTCCAAGGCCATAGAGGGGGTACAGGTACGGGCTTTTACCGTATCTGGCCAGAGACTCGCTGTAGAGTTTAATCCTGTTGATTGTTTCTTGGCAGGGTTGATCTAGATAGCTGGAGAAGACAATGACATGAGTTGCAACGTCATAAATCAAGACTGAAGAGAAGAACACACTGAGAGAGCAAAGCAGACACTTCCTGTGAAGTTTCCTTCCCCACCCACCAGAGACTCCTGGCAACTATTTCCCTAGAAGTTCCCTTTTAGAAGCACTTAGTGTCACAAAGGGGTTTTTTGGGAAGGAGATGCTTCATGAACCCACAGGAACCCACAAAGTTTCAATGCTCCATCAGCAGAGGACCCAATATTTGAAGATTCATGCAGCACTCATGGACAAAACCACTTTGCAGGACATCCCACCTTTGATTTGCAAGGCCTGTGCCCAGCACCCCATGTGATTTGGGGGAGAACTGAACCCACACTTACTCATCAGTCCTGTAGAGCGCCAGGGCGTGGCCCGTGAAGTCGATAACATCTTGTCCCAGGTCAAACTTCTTGTACACGTCACGCATGGTGGTCTTCTTGGGATCAACCCCTTCAAAAGTTCGGGGGTCGTTCTCATCGAAGTTGGCGACGTACACTAGGAACTTCCTGAAGCGGCGTTTCTCGAACAAGCCCATTAAACCTCGAAACAAGAGTGTTTTGTCACAACTCCCCCTGTTGCTAAATGGCTCTTCCACTGCCACAGAGGATCAGGAGCAGGTTAAGAAGTGACAAGTGTTTGAAACATCACTCAGGAACAGGGAGTTTGGTTTTGAGGGTTAATCAAGGTTCTCCATTCCAGCAGGAGAGACACACAAACATCTGCCAAACCAGTTCTCACTGTCCTGGTGTACCAGACCTCAGGAGGTGGTACTGGAATAAGCTGCCCAGAGAGGGTGTGGAGTCTCCATCTCTGGAGATGTTCAAACCCACCTGGACACTTTCCTGTGCAACCTGGTAGGGAACCTGCTTTGTCAGGGGGGTTGGACTGGATGATCTCCTGAGGTCCCTTCCAACCCCCACCATTCTGTGATTCTGTAAGGTCACCTTTCATCAAGGTGTGGCTGGAGGTTGAGCTTCTCCACTGCGTCCAGCTTGTGTTGGGTTTGTTTGTGTGTGTGTGTGTGTGGGGGACACACACACACAATCCAGGTTTTTTGGTAGTGGGGGAAGGATGACCTTATGAGAGCAAAAAGCTCCCCTGGCTCCAAAAAGCAGACACCCCCACTGCCCCCAGCCCAGGGTGGGCCAGTGAGCACTAGAGAAACACCTCTGAGAATCCAGATTGGTGAGGGGAAGGACTGTCCTGAGGAGAAGGTGGAGAGAACTTGGAGAAGAGGCAATTGACAAATAAAAGAGAGGACCATCGGCCTAAACAAAAGAGGGACAGACAGAGGAGAGCTTCATTGCTGGAGAAAAGAGGAGGAGAGACAGATCCA